TGACGGAAGTGAATCATCATGGTACTCCGTGACCAGTGGTGTCTCACAAGGCTTTGTCCTTGGACCTGTACTCTTTAGCATCTTTATTAACGATGTGGACATTGGTGTCAGAAGCGGACTGGCCGTTTTGCCAATGACACCAAACTTTGGGATACAGCACTCACACCCAAGGATAGGTTCGTGATCCAGGCTGACCTTGATAGGCTTAGAAAGTGGGTGGATAAAAACCTGATGACATTCATTACAGATAAATGTAAGATACTCCACCTCAGGGGGAGGGGAGGGAACCTGCATCATGCTTATAGGCCTGGCAGTGCTACGCTCACTAGCACAATGGCTGAAAAGGACTTGGGGGTCATGGATGACCACAAGATGTACATGAGCCACCAATGCGATGTCGCAGTTGATAAAGTGAACAAAACTCTGGCTGCATCCATAGATGCTTCCTAACCAAATCTCAGGATGTCATCCGCCCTCTGTACTCAACCTTCGTGAGGCCTCAGCTGGAGTACTGCATCTAATTCTGGGCTCCACAATTCACGAAGGATGTGGAGAAGTTTGAGAGAGTCCAGAGGAGAGCCACGCACATGATCAGAGGGCAAGAGAACAGGCCTTATGAAGAGATGCTGAGATCCATGGGACTTTTCAGCTTGGAAAAGCGGAGGCTCAGGGGTGACCTGGTGGCAGCTTATAAGTGTATAAGGGGTGTGCATCTGACTAGGTCCAACGGTCACAAACTCCTCCAAGAACATTTTAGGCTGGACATAGGGAAAAACTTCTTTATGGTTTGAGTCCCCAAGGCCTGGAATAGATTCCCTCCAGAGGTGGTGCAGGCACCTACTCTGGACTCTTTTAAGAAATGTTTGGATGCTAATCTTGCTGGGATCCTTTGACCCTAGCTGACTCCCTGCCCCTGGGCCAGGGGACTGAACCTGATGATGTTCCGAGGTCCCTTCCAGCCCTAATGTCTATGAAAAAAATCTGTGAAAATTATCATTTAAATCATTTGACACATATTTGCACTAGCACCTTATGATAGAAACAGGAACTTAAGAAGCAAAGTTTTTTTCCTGGGAACATTTTCTTACAATGTATTATCTACCTAATAACAACATGGCAGCTGCTTAAGATCAATATGAGTGATGGATGTCTATAATATATGTAAAATTATAGGAATGTAGGGCTAGAAGGGACTTTACAAGGTCATCTGATTCAGCTCCCTGTTCAAGGCAGGGGCATTTCTAACTAAATCATCCCAGCCAAGTGCCTGTTTAATCTGCTCTTGAAAACTTCCAATGATGGAGATTCCACAACTTCTCTAGGGGACATCTTTCAATGCTTGACCACTCTGATAGTCAGAAAATTCCTCCTAATCTCCAACCTAAATTTTTCTGGCCCTATCTTGAGGCCATTGTTCCTACTCCTGTTTCCTATCGCCACAGAGGAAAGAGCATCAGCACCCTCTCTATAATAACAGGTATTTGAAGACTGTTCTCAAATCTCTCAGTTTTTTCTTCTGCAGACTAAATAAGCCCTAGTTATTTTAGCCTTTCCTCATAACTCTTGCCTCCTGGCCCTTAATATTTTTATTGCTCTGTGCTGGACTCTTTCCAAACTATTCACATCATTCTCAAGTATGGGGCCCAAAACTAGACACAATACTGTGGGTGAGGCCCCATTAAGTGATGCTACTGTGCAGCAGCTTAATAATACTATGCAGTAGTGTATTAGCACTGTTTGTACTGTGGCACACTACTGCACAGTATTCAGAGGCTACAGGGCTGTTGATGTCTTCTATAGATGCACCTCCTGAGAAGCAATTATCACTAATATTTTTTTTAATTCCTACCCTCAAACACAGAACAAGGATTTTGAAAAGGGGTTGTGTGTGGCAGAGAGGACACTAGAACACGGGATATAATCAGCAGTGGAAACTGGAGACCAAAATCAGAGCTCTCAGCAGCAGAGAGCTCACTGAAAACACATTACAGAGTTGAAGTGGGATGTTACTGCACCACTGAACCCCATGTTTCTCTCCATCTTTGGGGTAACCTCTGAATCAGGGTGTCACTGAAAACATGAAGGAGCATTACTGAGTAAAGACTACAAACTGGATTATTATTGCTCTAATGCAGATGTTTAGGCAGTTCTGAAATCTATAGATTTGCTAGAATGGCTAAGTACAGGCAGTCAAAAAGCCTGAGGCTGAATCAATTTAATCTTTTCAAGTTTTCAGCCATTAGATCCTGTTATACCTTTTATGTTAGAATGAAGAATTTTTATCAAATTTCTACATGCCCTAGATCAGGGATGGGCAAACTATGGCCCATGGGCTGGATCTGGCCCACCAAGACATTTTGTCTGGTCCATAGTGGCCTTACCCAGCCCAGGTGTTGGCGGCAGCTCAGGCTGTGGTGTGTGCAGCCAGTCCCACTGCCCCAGCGCACGCAGTAGGGCTGGGACAGTGTGGTCACCAGAATACATTTTCTGGCATCCCCAACAGTGGCTCCTTCTGGCTGCAACTGCCAGACCTAGCCCTGCTTCCCAGGCACCCCAGGCCATATGCCCTACGCTCACTGCCAGGGGCACTGGACGGAGTGGGTGGATGGGGTCTCCATGGAGACTGGCTGAGACCTATGTGGGCAAGGATGCACAGCCAAGTGGGTGGGATCACAGGTGGGTGGGGTGGGGAGTGGCCTCCAGGAACAGAGTGAGCATGGCTGGGGGACTGAGCAGCAAACAAGGGGAAGCAAAGAGGACAGTTTTCTGGGAGCAAGAGGAGGAAGGGGAAGAAGAACCAGGAACCAGGCACCAGATTCTGCTATAAGAAGGTAACTGAACCAGGGTAGTCTGTGTGCTTGGGTTACTGAGGGCTATTTGATGGATTTGTATACTTGAGTGTGTGCTCTGAGCAGCTAAGTAGACTAATTTTCTGATTGATTGCTGCCTAGGTGTGACAAAAGGCCCTAACAAAGGGGCCTAGCCAGTCCAGGCCCAGGAGAGGTATATAAAGAGGCAGTCCAAGCAACCAGGGAGAAGCAAACAGAACAGTTTGTAAGTAGTTTACAAGCAGTTTGCTAGTCAGTTCATAAGTCATGCCACCCCTCTTTGAAGGGGAGTGTAAAAGGTAATATATATATTTTTTATATATGTAGTTAGGATTGACTAACTATATGGTTTTATTTTAGCAGCTAAAACTCAGCAAGTAGACCAAGACTTAAGCCTCTTGTCCTGAGTAAGAGAGAGTTTTCTTGGACACTCTCTCTCACATTCCTTCACTGTAACCTTGCTGAGTGGAAAGAGTTTGCAGGGAAAAAGGAACCATCCAGATCAAGGAACAGCAAACAGGCCAGCTACAGAGGAGTTTGTGCCTCTCTTTCCAAGCAGACCTTTCCTAGCTAAGTGAGAAGCAGCAGATTAGAAGACCCAGAAAGATAGCTGAAGGATGTTGCAATCCCAGAGCCACTGCCACTTCCAGCTCTTCCTCTGCTTCCACCTGTGAGATGTCTGTCCAGGCAGCACCACATACGGTTGAGGCTTCCACCTAGGTCCTGGTTTGGTGCTGTGCAGACTGTGGCTTGCAGATTCCTTTTGGTGTCAGCCAGGTGGGGGAGTTCCTGTAATATGAACAGTTCCTTCTGATAATATTCCTCATGGAGAAGGCAAGAAATCTATAGGAAGAGGTAGCAAGGCTCTGAAGCATCCTCCACCATGAGGACTTCATCGATTCCAAGCTGGAGGAAACCTCAAGGACTGTGGAGGAAGGATTGCCAGAAGAGGTGCTAGAAAAGGAAGAGGGTATAGACTCCCAGGAAGGTGGAAGCTGGAAGTGGTTTTCCTGGAGAACAGATATGGAGCACGAGCAACAGAAGGGGAGGAGTGCATTCCATTGGTGGAAGAGACCAGGCCAGGAATCCCCAAGGTGGGAAAGATCAAGACCACTGCCATGAAGAGGAAGCAATGGATGGTGGTGGTTGGAGACTCCCTTCTGCAGGGCATGGGGGATCCATCTGCTGGCTTGACCTGTTGTCATGAGAGGTCTGCTGATTACCTGGAGCCCATATGCAAGATGTCATGGGAGGATTACCAAGACTAGTCCAACCCTCTGACTACTACCCCATGCTGCACATCCATGTGAGCACTAGTGATACTGCCAGGGGTGACCCTGAGCAGATCAAGAGTGACTACAGGGCTCTTGGTGCAAGGTGGAAGGAGATGGAGGCACAGGTTGTGTTTTCCTCAATCCTTCTGGTCAAGGGGAAGGGTCCTGGCAGGAACAGATACGTCCTGCAGAACAATGCATGGCCGCATAAGTGGCATCACCAGCAGGGTTTTAGCTTCTTTGACCATGGAATGTTGTTCCAAGAAGAAGGATTGCTAGGAAGAGACAGGATCCACCTGACAAAGAGCGGGAAGAGCATCTTTGCAGACAGGTTTGCTAACCTAGTGAGAAGGGGTTTAAATTATGTTCATCTGTGGATGAAGAACTATGCCCTGAGGTAAGTGGGGAAGGAAGAGACCTGAAGGAAGCAGAAGCAGAAGCAGGAGGAGGCATCAGGGGAGACCTAATTCTTCTTAAGAAAGTAGAGCAATTGGCTAGGTACCTTAAGTGTCTGTAAACAAATGCATCAAGCCTGGTAAACAAGCAGGAAGAACTGGAAGTCCTTGCAGGGTCCCCAACCTATGATGTGATTGGAATAAAAGAGACTTGATGGGATAGCTCACATGACTGGAACACTGTCATGGATGGATACAAACTGTTTGGGAAGGACAAGCAGGAGAGAAGAGGTGGAGTAGTGCTGTATGTAAAAGAGCCAAATGATTGCTCAGAGCTCCAGTGTGAAGCTGGAGACAGGCCTGTTGAAAGTCCCTGGGTTAACGTCAGAGGTTAAAGCAACAAGGGCAATGTTGTGGTGGGTGTTTGCTATAGACCATCAGACCAGAAGAATGAGGTAGATGAGGCTTTCTTCAGACAACTAGTGGGAGTTTTGCGATCACAGGGTCTGTTTCTCATGGTTGGACTTCAATCACCCTGACATCTTCTGGGAGGGCAATACAGCAGTGCACAGGCAGTCCAGAAAGATTTTGGAGAGCATTGGAGACAACTTCCTGGTGCAAGTGTGGGAGAGACCAACTGGGGGCCATGCTCTTCTTGATCTATTGCTCAAAAACAGGAAAGAATTGGTGGGGGATGTAGAAGTGGACCACAAGTTTGGCAGTAGTGACCACAAGATGACTGAGTTCAGGATTCTGACAAAAGGAAGAAAAGAGAGCAACAGAGTATGGACCATGGACTTCAGAAAAGCAGAATTTGACTCCTTCTGGGAACCAATGGGTAGAATTCCCTGGGAAACCAGTCTGCAGGAGAAAGGAGTCCAGGAGAGATGGCTGTATTTTAAAGAAATGTTGCTTACGGCACAGGAACAAACCATTCCAATGTGCAGAATACATTGCGAATGTTGCAAGTGATCAGCTTGGCTTAGCAGAGAAGTCTTTGGTGATCATAAACACAAAAAGGAAGATTACAAGAAGTGGAGGCTTGGACAAACAACGTGGGAGGAATATAAGAATATTACTCAGGCATGCGGGGATGAAGTCAGGAAGGCCAAGGTGCAATTGGAGTTGCAGCTAGCAAGGGACATGGAACATAACAAGAAGGGTTTTTACAAGTATGCTAACAACAAGAGGAAGGTCAGGGAAAGTGTGGGTCCCTTTCTGAATGCAGGATGAAACCTAGTGACAGATGAGACGGAAAAAGCTGAAGTACTCAATGCCTTTTTACCTTGGTCTTCACAAACAACGTCAGCTCCCAGATTACTACATAGGCAACAGTGTGGAGAGAAGGTGAACAGCCCTTCTGGCAAAAGAGCAGGTTAGGGACTATTTAGAAAAGCTGGACATTTGCAAGTACATGGGGCTGGATGAAATGCATGCAAGGGTGCTGAGAGAGCCGACCATTGTGATTGCAGACCTGGCCATTATTTTTGAAAACTCATGGTCCTGGACTTTTGGAAAAGTGCAAATATAGTGACCATCTTTAAGAAAGGGACGAAGGAGGATGCAGGAAACTACAGACCACCAGCAGCCGAATCTCCGAATCAGATTCAGCTGAATTGATTCAGGACAGTGATTCGAATCACTGAATTAAATCATTGTCCCCCAATTCAGCTGAATCCAAAGTGAATACTAGATGCTTTGCACATGCCTACTAGTTTTATTCCATATCTTCATTAACCATCTGGAAGCTGGAATGAAGTTAACCCTTAGCAAGTTTATAGATAACAAAGCTGGGGGTGTTACTTGATATGCTGGAGGGTCAGGCTAAGATTCAAATTGACTTAGACAAATTGGAGAATTGAGCCAAAAGAAATCTTATGAAGTTCAACAAATTCAAATGCAAATCTCTACACTTAGCCAGTCATCCCCCAATCTGAACCATTACATGGGATTCTTCCGTCCTAAGCAGCAACTCTGAAGAAAAAGACCTGGGGGTTACAGTGGACAATAAAATGGATATGGGTCAGCAGTGTGCCCTTGTTGCCAAGAAGGCTAACAGCATACTGGGCTGTATTAATAGGAACATTGCTAGCTGTTGAGGGAAGTAATTATTTTGAACTGGTGAGGTCACATCTGCAGTACTGTGTCCAGTTTTGGGCCCCCCACCATAGAAAGAATGTGGACAAGTTGAAGAGAGTCCATTGCAGAGCAATGGAAATGGTTTAGGGTCTGGGGCACATGACTTCTGAGGACAGGCTGAGGGAACTGGGTTTATTTAGTCTGCAGAAGAGAAGACTGAGGGAGGATTTAATTACAGCCTTTAACTTCCTGAAGGGGGATTCCAAAGAGGATGAAGCTGGTTTGTTCTCAGTGGTGACAGATGACAGAACAAGGAGCAATGGTCTCAAGTTGCAGCAAGGGTGGTTTAAGTTGAATATTTGAAAAAAAACTTTTTCACTAGGAGTGTGATGAAGCACTGAAAAAGGTTACCTAGAGAGGTGGTAGACTCTCCATCCTTGGAGGTTTCTAAGGCCCAGCTTGACAAAGCCATGGCTGGAATGATACTTGGTGATGGCCATGCTTTGAGCAGGGGGTTGGAGTAGATGACTTCCTGTGATCCCTTCCAAACCTAATTTCGTATGTTTCTATGATTCTGTGATTGGGATTAGGATTGTGGGGCTGTGATGGTGGGCAGAGCTGTGATCTACTACCCACACGCCCCTGTAACAGGCACCAGTTCTGCAGGCATGGGCATACAGGGAGTGGATCATGGCTCTGCCCCAGGCTCCTGCCCCATGCTCCTGCTGCAGGCTCCTGCCCCATGCTGTCACCGCCTTGCAATCCCAGCCCAAGCCATGCAGAATGGGCACATTGTGCTCCTGGATGTAGCTCCCTGCCCTCCCTCCTGTGGCCCCATTCCAGCCTCCTGGCTGGTCTCCATAGAGACCCCAGGATCACAAGGTGGTGATAATGTGAAGCCAGGCACACCCCATACCCTCCTACCCATAGAACCACTGCCAATCACAGGAGCATGCAGGGAGTGGATTGTGACTTTGCCCTAGGTCCCAGGCCTGCAGTGTCCCCACTCACCTATCCCACTCCTGGATGCTGCTCCCTGCCCACCCATGGCCCCATCCCAGTTGTCCAGCCAAGCTCAGATACCAATTAGGGAGTTTTGGTGAGCTGTTGGGGTTGCGGGGGGGTTGTTGACCTGGCCTGCAACAGCTCACTAAAACGCCCTAAGTGTCCCTTTGACAAAAATAATTACCCACCACTGAGGTGGCTGAGCAATTAAGGCGTCTTGCTATAACTTTGAATGCATTGGTATAAAACTCATTCTTAACTTTTTGCAAAGTCAACCTAGTTGTAAATGGGAATCTAATCATCTGAGTTGAGTCAAAGGCATCCAGTTATGACACTAGACACATCACTCCTTCTGTGTCATTGGCTACAGAAATCAGTTTGCCTCAATTGCAGGGGTCTGATGGGCCATTTGTTTTAGGAAAATGTGTGTGTGTTTTCATGTGAACATACTTTGTAAGACTAAAGAGAGTGATCTGTTTATTTTAACATGCAGAAAGTTAAGGGATAGCTGATTGCAGCCTGTATGTGCTTATATATATGTGTGTGTGATACACATACCCACTCACCCATCCACCCATATATGTATCACACACACACACACACACACACACACACACACACACGTACGTACGTTTATATATATGTGCGTGTGTGTGTGTATATACCCTCTATATGACCTCTTGAGATCTCTTCCATCCCTATTTTTTTATAATTCCTATAGTACTTTTCTGAACTTTTTTCCAATTTATCAGCATCCTTCTTGAACTGATAATGTCACAACTAGATGCAGTATTGTAATAGCAGCCATACTAGTGACAAATATAGAGGCAACATAACCTCTTTACTCTTATTCATTGTTCTTCTGTTTATACATCTAAGGATCACATTGACGTTTTTGAACATAGCAGTTTTCAGAACTTACGTTCAGCTGATTATCCACTGAAAACCTCAACTCCATTTTAGATGCAATATATCGCATAAGCATGGCCTGCATTCTTTGTCCTGAGAGGTGTGATTTTTTTTTTTTCCTTTGGCTGTATTAAAAAACATATTTTTAATATGTCCTTCCTCTTCTTCTTCATTCTTTACCATTATTTCGTTGTGCCATCTACAGAACTTTTCAGATCTAATTTTTCAGAGGTGTAACAGTGTACTTCTGCCCTGGGCAGCTATGTGGCATGTGGGGCAGCAATGACTTGTGCTTTGCCAATTTGTGGCATTGCTATCACTGTAATAATAGCTAATTTTGTACACCCCCCAAACAAAGGTGGTTGCTGGCCCAGTATCCCCGACTCAGTTATGCTACTGCTGGTTTTATGCTTTCTTCACTGATTTAAAAAACAATTTTATAGTACTGGGGCACAATCTGATTTTCTGAAAGACATCACTATGAATGCAAGTATTCAGTGATGATTCCCCATTTAAAAGTATTGCTAAGTATCGCTCAATCTATTTTCAACTTTACCTGAAGATATAAAGACATTTTCCTTTTTCATGGTATTTCTTTCTGCATTTTGCTATGGGTTTTACTTCTGTTTTCTAAGAAAAGCATGCAAAATATCTAATCATCACTTTCTATTATTATTTTTCCCATGCAGGGCATCATGTACTGTTTACAGCAGATAGCCTTCTGTTTTTTCATTCCCCCGGAGAGATTTGTTGCTTCATTTCCTCACCCCAACTGAGCCTTATGTTATCAATACTGTCTTGCAGTTATAGAGAAAAAATACATAGGATGTTCTTATTTGTACAGTATTCTTATTTGTGTTTTGCCAGATATCTGATTTCTTTTGTAATATCCTTGCATACCCCTTTAGTAGGGATAAATCTAGTATAAATAATTTTCCATTCTTTAGATTTTTGTAAAGAATATTTTAACTGTAGGATAAAATGACTTCTGCTTTCTCCCCCATCTTCTTCTTGCAGTTGCTTGAAAAGTTTTACCTTGTTTTCTTGTTTGTTTGTCTGTTTTAGTGCACTCCTTGCATATTTTAGTTTCATATCTGTTTATCTCTTTCATTTTTGCATAAATTTAGATAGGGACAAATATTTTGCTGGTAAAAAGGTAATGTAGCCAGGCCAGTATCCTTGATACTGTAAATACTGGTTAGTTCTGAATATCCCTTGAAAGAGGTAGTTATTTTTGCCTATCTTCCTATACTGGAAATACATGGGATTACATCTTATGAATTTTTATTGCTCATTTTTAGTGAGGTATAGGCTGAGGGATGGCTGACCAAAGCGCAATTCTATTTCTGTTCTATCTAACAATATTTGAAAAGCTCAGTCTTTGCTTTGCTACAACAACTTGTTTTAAGAAGTTCTTCTAGAAGTGCGCATGTGATAGGAAGAGAACAGGAAAACTTTATCCCATCCCAGGCTCAATATTGTTATCATGATTTAATTCCACCGTACCCTATTCAAACTTATCCATATCTGTAATGCATCCCTCAGATAATTTTTCAAATCCATCTTCTACTCTTCACCAATAAATTGCTTATATTCAATTGGAGGATTTTGTATTACACTTTAAGGCATAGGTCTCAATATGCACTTTTCAATTTTTGCAGCATTTTAATTGAATTATAAGGAGCCCTCTCTATTTTAGCAAATTCATAGGCCTGTAAAATAAGAAAAGAGGAATTCTAATAGAAAATGGGGGAAATTGATTGTTACATAAAATCCCCTTCTTTTGGGAAATAGCATGCCTGCATCCCATGGCTTTGTTATGCATATAGGTCTAAAGTACAGTGATGCAGATTATTTTCTGTAATGTTACAAGATGACAAGAGTTCTAGATCATGTACTAACATATTTGTGTTGCTATTTCTTGCTTCTAAGGGGCATAGGGCTTCTGATTGCTGTTGGTCATCAGTGAGCAAAATCCTGCCATAATTACTAGGCGCAAAACAGGAACTTGATCCCTGTTCGCATTCCCAACTGCATGTAAATCTGATAAAAAAAGTAAGGTCTCACTTCCCATGTATTAAAATCCCATTTTACTTTAGTTTATCTGTATCTTGCTTACTTTGAGTATTTTCATTGTATTCATATAAATTAGGTGAGAAGTGATTGACCCTAAAGCACCCTATATTTTGTTAGAAATAAGGAATTACTGATGCTTTCTTGGAAGTTTATCATTTAAACAAGGGATAAAAATTCTGGGATAGAATTTTATTATGGTCACATCTGCTGTTGTTAGATGTGGTAATTAGGGCTGTGTGAAGCTTTGGTCGCTGATTCGATTCAGCAGCAATTCGGCGGCCGAATTTCCAAATCAGAATTGAATCAGGAAACCCTTTACTTTTTCTGAATTGAATTGGAACCCTCCATATCAATTCAGAGAGATTCAGAAATATTCAATGATTCGGATATAGACACAGCTTTAAATGTTTTTTCTACATTCCTCAAGGTACCAGGCGGCTCGTGAATGCTGAGATGCTGGGGCGGATGGAATGTCCCACAGGAGCACGGAGGGGTCCTCAGCGTGCTTGGCAGTGGACCCAAAAGTGGACCAGAAGTGCCAGAAGTGAACCAGGCTCACCCTCCACCCCACGGCGCTCCTGTAGGACTCTCCATCCACCCTACTATCACAGCGTTCATGAGCCGCACCTAATACCTCCAGGTATGTAAAAAAAAAATTTAAAGTTGTGTCTATGGCGAAATCGCTGATTCCCTGAATCAGAATCAAATCTTCAGATTTGGACTTGGCCAAATTGAACTGGGACAGTGATCTAAATCAACTAATCGAATCACTGTCCCTGATTCGGGCTGAATCCAAATCAAATATGGCCCGTTTCACACACCTCTAGTGGTAATCTCTTCAGGCTGGGAACACTTTGGTTTTCCTTAGGTTTAGAGTAAAAGAATGACACTATTGCCACAGTTTTATGACCATTCTAAGGCAACTCTAAGACACTGGAAATACTATAACTTTTCTAAACATACAAACTATTGGGAAGGAATTTAAATTGGGCAGTGGTGGGGAATCTGCTAGGGTTTTAAAAAAATACTGAATGACAAGTTTACATGTGCACTTTAGTGCACACTAGCTTATTCTACTGTGTATAAAAGCATCACAGCAAAAATAGTGCTAATACATGTGAAGCAGAATTAGTCTACTGTGCATTACCCATCACTAAAAAGGCATTCACTTATGCTACTGTGTATTCAGGCAGCCTAATGCACCTTTATGTAGTACCTCAATTAGAGGTACTAAACTTAAAGCACAGTAGCAAAAGCGCATTAATGAACATACAGATGTGCCCAATAAGTGTCAATTTAACTGTTTTTTCTTTAGTGTGCATCACCATAGTAACTGGATATCTCATGAATTCATGCCCTCAACTCTTCTGTGCAGGACATTACTATCCTTATGTAAACCTTCTGCTGGGCACTTGTCTGGTGCATCAAATTTTCACTATG